TAGGGATGGTCCGCATATTATCGAATCAAATTTTCACGGTTTTGGAACCTCCCCATCCCTCATGTCATCATTTGACCATTCCCCTTCCCTCTGTAATATTATAAAAATGTTTTGTTCAAGAAAAGACCAGTTTTTATAATAATCATGATTGTTCTTCATACCAGAGGTCGTCACGGAGTGGAAAAATCCATGGAGATCCAGGGGTCCGTAAAATACATAGAAAACTACGGATTTCATGTTTCAATAAGCTTACATCTACTGATATATCACCGAAATCCAGCGCTTTTAATATCTCCTGTGTTTTCATACTAATCTAGATTCTGCGGGCTAGCCTACGGGCCATGCCGTAGAATGTACTTGGTCCGACCAATACGAAACGCTCCGAAAAATTTATGCATTCTCTTCGGGCCCGATTGGATCGAGCCAAAATTCTTGAGTCCCGATATGGATGGGGCCGAAAAAAGCGGCCCTAGACGATCTGTGCTTCATACTACAAAGAAACAGTCTCACAAAACTAGAGATTTGCATACAGTAAACAAGTTTTTTCCGTCAGTGTCCATGGACACAACACATCCAACTTGTCTATTTGTCTGTAGACAAAAAATTTCCATCATTATTCATGCTCTGTCCATGAAGTGTACCAGTGGCGGCGGAGCGTCATCAAGTTAGGTGAGGCGCATAATATTTTTTTTCTGCCGTCCGATTTTATCAAAGCATCAAGCAGAATATAAGTCTTCTTTTTATTGAACTTCGGTAGAAATCAAAACGATCAAGATTAAACAAAAATGATTAGAAACTACCAAAAAAATTTTCTCTGTTCATTTTTTGATGCAAACGTCGAACAAAGACTTTTCAAGTCAATAGAATCTGTCTTTTCTTTGTATATATGTGTTAAAAAGACACTATTTAAACGAATTTGTGTCATCGTCGATCGCAGACATGTGTTCATTCGATTCATTACCGAGAAAGATCTTTCTGCAGTCGCTGTGGACACTGGCACTGTTAGATAAAGCCGTAGAAGTCGATTGAATTGATTATAGAAAAATATCCAAGTGAAGAAAAGGAAAGACAAAATAGATATATAAGATATATGTATGTCGTACGTGTCATCTGTACAACAATAGAATAGAGAAAAGAAAGAAACATCAGAGATAAGTGAATCAATAAGATAGATATATGTGAGAATATGTATGTATCTGAATGGGTCAGGTGCTTGACATAACAAATCCTGCGAATAAAAAATAACAATATTAATTCGGAAATTAAGTGAGGCTGAGCCTCTACAGCTAAAGTCCAGATGAGGCTCAAGCCTCACTTGTCTCAATGACTCCGCCGCCACTGAAGTGTACAGTACTGTTTCCTAGCGTATGTTTGAAAAAATGCTGATTTTTTGTGTAATTTACTTATTTCAAACGGCACGATTCTTTCCTATATGGATATTTACTGAAAGTGGTACAACGAGTAATTCGTAACAGGTCTACTAAAAGCCAAAAGAGACTCCATGACGGTAGCGTCTGTGCACGTATGTCCATGAACCAATCCGTCAAACTAAGCGTTATCCACGGACTTGTCCAGCTAACCCATGTCTTGCAGAAAGTGAAAATCTGCATAAGTTCTTTAAAGATTCTGCTTCTGGAAATATCTTGACCAAGATCTTGATACAGAATTTGCAAGAACAGCAAGTTCAAATACTTGAACAAATCTGATCAAAATTTACTACGGATTCTAGTCTGACATACGTATCAAGATTTTGAAAAGATTTAGGAACTTTTCTGAACTCATTAATGTAATTACTAATTAGGAAAATGAGTTTCATATTTGGACAGGGTAGGTGAGTGAACGCTAATTATCAGAATTTCACACATATTGGTATTCTTTGTGGCACTACGTTATAGAGGACCCGACCTTGAATTCTATTGGTCCACTAGATGCACAAATGGATGAATTATACTCGTTGTTGTCTCTATCACCGTTTTTCTTTTGCAGTGTCCGTCATATATTTATATATATATAATAACAGCATTTGC